TACAATGCTCCTCCTCACGGAAAGTGTCCGTTTCTTCCGTTTATTATAACTTTTAATGTTACCTTTAATAACTAAACATTGTTGTGCGGCAGTCGGTGCGCTGACTTGCTGCCTTCTGACACAACCGTACACGAACTTGTGACGGGGCGCGAGTCGTGAGTCGTGGGCGACAGGAAATTGACAAAGTTGTAGCGTACTAGCTGAATATTTGCGCCAACTTGGTTAGGAGCAACCCATATACATAAACCTACAATACCCTATATGTACACCTACAATATTGTTTAAATGTATTATAACGCTGCTTCGTTAGCTTTTTAAATGACTTCAAAAAGAAAAAAAAAAATGTATAAAAGGTATGCTCCTGCTCCAAAGTCCAGAAGGCCGATTCTCGTAATAAAAGTTCGGTCATTTTCAGTTCTAACCAACTTTCGATCTCACAACTGTCAGAAAAGGTATCTTCGTAGTAAAGTATGAAATATTCAACGTGGACTGTAATGTGATTATATCGTATTGTAACTGAAAATTGAATCAGTAATCTCCTAGTCTTAGTAATACTTTACTATTTTACTACGAAAGTACCTTGTACGACAGTTGCGAGATCAACTCAACAACAAAAGTTCGGTCACAATTCAGTACCGATCAACTCGATTGGAACTGAATTGTGACCGAAATTTTACTACTGCCTCTAGATCTAATGACACAGCGTCTTTGTCGATTTTTTTTTAATTTAACCAACAGTCGCCGCCGTGGATCTAGTCTATATAAACCTTTAACTATATACTTAAAAGTCTATATAAACTTTTAACTCTGGCTTGTCACTGACTTCAAACACACCAGAATGCACCTTGTGCCTTAATCAAATTAGCTAAAGTGTTGCTTGTATTGTTGTCTTTTCAATCAAATTTTTAATCAATTACTTCCCCTCGTTAGTGTTTTTGAAATCGGTTAAACTTTTTAAAAAGTATTGGCATTATGTTTAAGTGTATACGAGTAAATGTACACTACATTTAATGTTTTGAGATTTACAATAGAATGTGGCTGGTCGATGCTCAGCTGTAAGGTATTGCAGTGTCATCTTGTCACCGTGGAGACAGATTGTGATTGCAACTGTAATTACAGCTCGGGCCGGCCTCAGCGCTAGTTGCCACTGGACGGGGTCGGGAAGCGTTGCGTCGTCTCTCTGCACACGCGCGCCTACTAATTCGTAGTTATCTACTGAAACAGTTTTTCGTAAAATATTACGCTATTAAAATGGGAACACCGCCTTATTGCTTCGCAATTGTCATCCTACGGGGTCGGTGTAACATGTATTTTTCTAATCTGCTTAACAGAACTGTTATTTTATGTTTCGATATTATTTATGTTTCCCAGACTTGTTAATGTAACACAGACCTTCTGTATATCTTAATGCAATAGTAAATAGGCATAAAATAAATGAAAACGTACGTAATAGAAGCTTATGATACAAAAACGTTTAACTATTATATATCTATGAATAACAATAAACTTGTCAAAAGCGTTATAGGCGGCGCACTGTGCAACGATCTTTAACTTAACTAAACTGGATATGTATCTTAATAAATCGTGCAATTTAAACCTATTATTAATTTGGAGTCAGTCAGTCAGTATTTCTTTCGATACGTCTTAAACCAAGTTGGTGAAATCGCGTTTGGATTATCAGTTGTTGTTCGATACACATTCTACAAAAGCTTTCGCCTACATATCGTTAGTGTTGATCATTATTTAAATCGATTCTTATTCATGATCCCAAACGTGAAGTACTATTGATGATATCATAGCAAAGGTTTTAAATTCTAAAATTAATACCGGTCATTTTTGCTTATAACATAAACGTAAACAAAAAAAGAAATCTTAGGGTATTTTGAATCATTAGTCAAGTTAAATGTCAGTATAATAGTGTTGTTTACACTTCCTCATGATAAAGGGTTGTCGCAGGAGGAAAGAAAATATTAGACATCATTTAAATATAATGATGCACAATCTTACATGCTAAATAAATGGACCTTATTGATCTTTTCTGTATTACTGGACATAGACTTACACAGGATCAGTTCATGTTCAATTTTGATCATTACCATTTAGGCAGCTCATTCAACAGCAATACATGGTGGCACTATGATACTAATAAATAAGAAACTTGAGTTGAGGACGGCCTAAATAAATCGCAAAACTCACTTTTATCATAAATATAAAGATGATCGATGACGAAATATTTACTCACCGGCGGGAATACTAAAGCAACTTCAATTCATTCTAATTAATGATCATCAAAAGTAATTAATTTACATAACCGGAAGAGAATTACAGCATTGAAATGCTAAATAGTCGAACGAAACAGAAGTTTAAAGGAACATTTGCATAACTATGGAATTAGACTTTTTTTTGTGCGGAAATCCGGTGGTTATGTCTCGAACCGACCAAAACCGTCTCGGGTACTAGTTTCCGGGGAACCAGGTGTACCCTATGAAGAAAATCCCTGATACCCCGACGTACCTCGGGCCATCTACGGCGTGTAAATGACCTCCTCCAGTGTGGGAACCCCTATGTCCCCTATGTGCTCCCGAAAGGGCGCTCACGCTTTGCAGCGCGTCTCGCCACTACCCCGACCTGCTTCTGCTAGGGTGACAGATAGCCTTACTTACCACCCCCCGGCCTGCGCATAAGCGCAGGCCGGGGGGTGCCTGCGCTTATGGAGGACGGAGGACATTCTGCGACATCCGGCTCTTGAGTCGTCTGCGGTACCTGGCCCGTAGCCGGGCCTCGTCCCGCTCTGCCATCTCCTTTGCAAGCATTACTTGCTCGCAGAATGAGACGGTGGAGTTTCACAAACTCTCGCTCCGTACCATGGCAGCAATCTTGTTACCGAGCGAGGCAACGCCTCTGCTCCACCCACGCCGGGCATTCTGCCAGCGTGTGAAGTGCCGTGTACACGATCCGGCCATCGCAGTGATGGCACTCGGGCGTTGGCTCCTTGTGGATCAGACACAGGTGATAACCTGCGTCAACCGGTATGAGAGAGTTCCGTGATGCCTCTCCAGCCATTCTTCCATAGCGGGTCTTACCGCCGCGATAACGGCGTGCCCAAACAATGGAATTAGCCTGCACTCGTCTTGGACACCTTACTTACTTACCTACTTGGACTTACTTAAGAATAAAATCATAAAGCGGGTAGTTGCCTAAGGCGCGATGCTTCAATCGCGTCTTACTGTTTTTGGCCCACGCCTAAAACGTTTTACTCGTGATCACAACGAATGATGTTAATAACGTTGTACAATGTTTTAAAGTTGTACAAACAGTTTTAGAATCGACTGAAAATGTTCAGAGTTATTGCGTACGTTGTCTTCGTTGGAATTGTCGACGATTTGGACAGAATTATTGATCGCATATTGGAAGGTTGTTTACTAACTTAATGTTGAGTATATGAACTTTTTACATTGAAAACAAATTAGTCAACATTTTGTTTTACCTACTGAATTATTTCTAAAGTAGTACCTCTCGAGTTATACACTTAATTTGTAAAATGACTTTAGTCTTATGAAGTAAGAAGCTTATAAAGAGTGTACACGTACACTCTCTGATTGTATTTCTCTTACATATTTCTCTAAAAAAAACATGGTATTTGACGAGCTTTACGAAAATTTATCAAACTGTTCATTACAGTTAGTTAGTTACAACGTCTATAACTTAGTTGCGCTTGACCTGATGACTTTTTTTGAGCAGTTAAAATTGAAAACGTTCGACTAGTTTTTAACGTACAGTCTACGCTCTGGCTGCGGTTGCACAAAGCGGTTGCCGTACAGCCAAGGAGAGCGTTACAATGCCGATGCCAAGCTGACCTGTGTGACCTGTACGTATGTGTGGACGAGCTGCAAATTGTCGCATGTTCACAATCGAGGCTCGATACTGTGACGATCATACGTACATACACATATGTGTAATTGTATATGTGTGTACACAAATACGTTCAACAGTTCGATTATCGAGGCGTTGTTAGTCTGTAGACACGGGATTAACTGGCGCTCGCTCAACAATCAAATGCAACTGCTTGTCTGATTCAAAAGCTGTTCTGTGCCAATACACATTTTTGGAAATTTGATTGCAATATTCTCATAGTACTCTTTTTATATTATTTAAATTCTTTATTGTGTAACAGACGTGTCTCGATTTTCTTTTTTGTGTACGCTTCAAAAACTCATAAAGTTCTGCACCGATTGAGTTCAAACTTTTACACGATACTAGACTTCAAAGATGGTTTTTATCTATTTTTTGCTACCACAATGTGCCACAGCGACGCGTGGCAGGGTATAGCAAGTATTTTATAAAAACTGAATCTTGTAACTGGCCTGATTCTATTTAATCAGGGCGAAGGTCAGGCCATTTAAATTTGGATAAGATACTTGGACCAGGCCCTTTGGTAACAGAAATGTTGCGTCTCAACATCACTCTGGACCTTTCCCTAGTTTCAATACGTATATAAAACCACAGTTATTCGCATCAACACGAATAACATTTAAAGGTGACCGTTAACCGTTTTCCGTAGGTTGCTCTCCTCCTCTTGCGACCTATATGAAGTAGTTCAAGTAGTTACAATAAAATTCTAATTAAAATATAATACAATATATGAGATATAACATAACAAAGCGAAAGGAACGTTCCGACCGGGGTCCGTAGACCCGTAACGCCGTTTTTTTGTTAAAACAATTATAATATGTTAACTTTTAGCGCTTATCTAGTTTCATCTAATCAAACACAAAATCCATACTTCATGTTATAATATACTCGTATCCATCAATCCGACATAAAAACCGTCTCTGTGGCTGAAATACAAAACTTAGAGGCTCATTATTATATTCATTATCTGTATAATAGCAATATAAACACCAAAGCATCTCAGGCAAACTTTAATTCGATACAAAAGAATCCTGCCCTGAAATTACTCAGCGTCTCGCAATTCGTAAAGAAAAATATATCACAAAAGCATGCTGGAGAGCGACGGAGAAGGCTCGCAGCGGCTTGCCTTGCTTGCCAACACATTAGAACATTCCAGGCCCATGTTGGGCAATCTAATACCACATGCACGGAGTGGCTCGCAAGCTCAAGAAATCGTGTCGCAGATTGAGATGCGGAATCTAACACCAAACGTGGGAAGTGACTCGTAGCCAAACCATACTCGAACTGAATACTCGACCTGAGAAAGCTCTTATTGGTAGGCTGAACAAATTTTTCTTCATAAAATATTTAATAGTTATAAATTATTTATTTTCTTGCTAAGAGTAACTTTTTTTTTTTTTTTTTTTTTTAACGTGTGGAAATCCCCTCGGACCGTCACCCCTCCGGGGTTTGCGGCGGGGTGGTGTGTCGGACTCGGACCGACTAAAACCACACGGTGTGCCACTCTGCGCCTGTAACAGGAGGGATCCGGGAACAGCTGTTGTTAAGACATCCGGACCCCTCCTAGCGCCAGCCCGCTCCTGGTGCGGGCTCCGTCTCAATGTTGATGTTCCTCTCTTTAGGCGACGTCCGGCACACGCGGACGCCGCCCCCTCGCGGCTGGCCAAACTAATGCGGGTGGAGGGGAAACCCACCCCGTCCACCCGCGGCCACACTCAGGGCGGCATGAGGCTGTGATAGGCGGGCCTCCGCCGCCCGGTTCGCCGGCGGCGGATCGGGTCCGAGTGGAGGTCGTCCTCCCGGGCCCTCTCCGCCGCCTCCTTCCGCGAGATTACTACCTCGCAGAAGGTTGCGACCGCGGTAAAACAACTGTCGCTACCGGCCATGGAGCGTACTACGGCCGGTAGCGAGAGATCCACTCCGATGACTGCAGTGAGGGCCCGGCGCTGCGCCGCCCATGCTGGGCAGACCGCCAGCGTGTGCTGGGCCGAGTCCTCACTGCAGTCGCAGTGGTGGCAGGCGGGACTCAGTTCCCTCCTAGCGACCGTGTGCAGGTACTTTCCGAAGCAACCGTGCCCGGAAAGCACCTGCGTCAGCCGGAAGGAAAGGGTCCCGTGCTGCCGCCCTGCCCACTCGGCGATGACCGGCTGGAGAGCCTCCACGGCGGCGAAGCCAGCGCGTGGAGTCTCCAGCCGGAACGACCAACGAGCCATCGTGGCTCGGCGAGCGGCTTCGCGCCACTCGCGCACATCCTCGGGCGGAGGGCGAAATCCGCTCTCCGCCCGGGAGTCAGCCACTCGCCGATAAACTTCGGCGAGCACTTCCGCCTCCAAATCCCACGGGGGAGTACCGGCCAACGCGCATGCCACCTCCGTCGACACGGTGCGGTAACCGCGTATGGCTCTGACCGCCATTACCCTCTGAGGGCGCCAGAGGCGTACCCTATTCTGGGCGGTCAGAGCCGCCGCCCACACCGGTGCACCGTACAGTGCTATTGACCGGACAACCCCCGTGTACAGCCGTCTTGTCGCGACGCTGGGTCCACCCATATTGGGCAAGAGTCGCCCTAGGGCAGACGCAGCGCCGACCAGCTTTGGAGCAAGCTGTCGGAAGTGCTCGTCGAAGAGCCACCTCCCGTCGAGGATCAGGCCCAGATATTTCATCTGGGCCCGAACCGGTACGAGGACCGAGTTGACCACGATTGAGGCGCCAGGGGGTGGACCACGACGGGGCCCATGAAATAACAGGGCCTCCGTTTGCTAAGAGTAACTTAAATCAACCCTACATGACTAAATATAATCCGTTACATGCGAACATAAAACATAGTTTCTGTGCACGCAATAAGCTTTGAAGGTGGTTTGCCGTCAGCGCGAAGGAGCTTCGGCTGCTCCTTTTTTTTCAGTAAAATGTCTCTTCTACATTTCGCTGTTGCAACAATCGTCTTGTGTATTTTTTTACAATGTGTTTATTTCTTCATACGTTTATTTCATCGTACATTACCATTATATTATACATACCATTATACATACCTACGGCCCGTTTTCGTACGGTGACTACATTAAAATCTGTACTAATAAAATAAAGCTGAAGAATTTCTGTTGGATTGTCTGTTTCTTGAACAGCGATAATCTTTTGAACTATAGTCAGGTTTGAATCATTGTTTTAGTATTGTATATAGTTATTATTGAAGCTATGAAACAACATACTCGCACTTCAATGATCAGGAGAGGAGTAACGATCATAAATGCATTAAAAAAAAAACGGCGCGAGGGGACTATGAACACTCGGTCGGTACGAAGTTCCTTTCGCTTTTTGATAGACGTTTTGCTATAGTGTCGGCAAAAACTCTTCTTTCATTTTTCGGTCTCGCTCCCATCCGCTCAGAACGTGTAACGCGAGAAAAGGAACTTCGTTCCGAAAAAAAGGTAGAAGGGCTAGTTTTAAATAAGTGGATTTTAATACACAACTGTTCAATAGTGCGATATGCGATACGATAGTTAGTTATGCGTTAAATAATCTTCAGCTAATTTACTTGTTATTCTGCCACAAAGTGGTGCGCCAACTGAAAGTGCACATCGTTACATCAGAAATGAATATATTTTATTTTTAACTCGAAATTGTTATGTTTTTATTACTTGAATTTCTTTCATGTAGTGACACGACGGGACGATCCCTTTTATTCAGGGTGAAACCTGATGTCCTGACTCTGATGTGAAGTCTGATGCACAGACTTTAAGTGACACAACCAGAAATACAACAAAACATCTTAATACGTGCACTAGTTTCATGTTCGTTTCTTCATTCGTGCAAACATAAGGACAAAAATCTAAAAATATGGTTTTACTCCTGTTCTTACAAAGTGATCTCATATCATTTTCTCTTAAATATAAACATAAAGATGATTTAGAAACCTTCCCGATATACCTGATATGTTATATTGGTAATCCCTTGTTACTGTAAGTTATTTTGAATCGCATACATAGTGTATGTGTGCTCGTATTAGTTTTGTTCAAGAAATAACCACGGACGAGACCATGCTACACAAATATGATTGAAATATGTTGCCTTATGCGATATTCACGCGCATCGTGACACGTCACGGCGTCACGGCGTCGCTCGTGTCGGGACACGTGTCACGCGAAGCTGACACTCCGTGTGTGCGCAGCAGCTGTCACTCCGATGAATAAATGATAAAATTAAATCATCTGTTGAGGTGACCTACTCATGCCTCATTACATTTCTAATCATGTCCATGAACACCACGTTTTCAACGAACGGATATGTCAAAACCATACGAATATTGACCATAAAAATTAGTGTACAGAGAATATACTCGTATGTGTATTATGAAGATGTTTGAAAATTCACCTCATGACTATCATCTAGCGAGTAATATATACAAGGCATTAACTAAACATCAAAGTATCTGAAACTCCTACTCCTCGCCAGTGCCTGCTGCGTATTACGTAATCTCCAAGGAATATCCACCTCGCGCTCACTTACACCCCAAACTAATATAATATTGATATCGTTTGTGATTCTAACTCGATGTTAAATCGACTGAATTCGATTGAGTTAATTACTTCAATTAGAGTTACTACATTAGGGTCACATGTTTTATTTTTCACTATTACTTGAATATATAATTTTACTTATACTCACGACTATTTATCACTGTTATATTTATATTATTTTCAGTATTGTTTCATTAAACCAACGAATTGTATGATTTAGCAGTTGTGATAAACAGCTACTGATCGCTATACAGTCAATACCTTTGACACGATTTAACAAAATAACGACCATATGTCATGAAGTGTTAAAATGAATTTGCAATGTTTTGTTGGAGTTTACTTTAAAATATAATCTGCAAATTGTAGTTGCACGAGCAAGAACCACTTGTATCTCTGCCTATTACAAGTTCACTGAAAGGTTTCTAGGGAATATAAGGTGTCAGGCCGTCTCCCATAACGTGCCCTGATGCTTACAAAACATTAAGGAGAATTAATTACATCTAAAAAAGGAAATTAATAAACAACTTCTTATTTTGGTTTAGTTTATGTTTCCTAAATTCCGTGTAGGCAACTAATGTCAAGAGTCACTTTACATCTCATGGAAGTAGACTACAAATATCGTGGTCAATACGTGGGCCTATTGTTTCTAGAGTCTAATCTAGAGCGGCTAGTCTACAATCTAGACTAATGATAAGATTATTGGAGGCTACACTCTCTTAACAAAAAGCAAAAAGGTTGGCCGATGTGAGTGTGGTGACAGACGCTGGCCAGTCGAGTCGCGCGTTCAACTGCCAGTGGTCAATGTGTCGGCCTGAAGTGTTTATCACAGGATCGTGTCATGTTTTGAAGCTTTGTTTGCCTTCTACTGCACCCAACGCTCCCGCATGCACTGCCGTGACAATCTACAAAGCGTTATTTTGTGTTAACGAAACCAACCGTAAGACTTAACAATATCGTTCGGTTCACTCATATCTAAATTGTAGCTAGGTACGTCACCAGTCTTGCTCCCTAATGTCCGATTATAAGCGAGATTTTTCTATTTATTATCTGTATAACAGAGTTGTACAATTTAATGTTATCTTATTAAGAACCAAAATCAAAAATAATGGTTTCAAAAAATTTAATGAGTTTATAATTGAACCAAGTTGTGCATAAAATTATTACATATAAAAACTGGTCCAATGAATGCCAATTAACTGACACAAATGATCTGTATTCATATTGAAACAAAAAAACATTTTCTTAGTTGATTTTTAACATTTTCTTAGTTGATTATAAATACAGATCATAATTTATAGTTTATTGTTAATATTTCCATTGTGGCCGGTTTGTGGATGAAATCTTGTATACGTATACCCAACACGGTCCAATTTTAAACACAGAGTACTGTAGTTAGTGACGGTGAAGTGTGTGCATCGGCCGCGCCTCCCGTCGCGCCGGTGCTCTGTGGCGCGGCAGAGCAAACACGCTGCTAATGGAGAGCCCATTCATTCATTTGCTCGTTCACTCGCTGTCCACAAACACGCTAACACCTTAATTATAATCCACATCTATACACACAGTCATTAAGTATCTCTTTAAAAAAATAATTACATAAGGATATTGTTAAATTGAAACAATTATGTTTCAATTAATAAAAAAACTCAATATATTTTGTTAATAGAATCAGAGTAATTTGTGTAACTATGTATGTATGTTTTGTTAAAGCCATGTTAAAACTTGGTGCAGAACAAAAGGGCTGTG